GGTCGGTAGCTTGGTAGGGATACGCCCCTAAGGGCTGTCTCTTATACACATCTAGATGTGTATAAGAGACAGTCCAAACACTGCACACACATACACACGCTCTCTCTCATTTTGAAAATAATATGGTGCAAACCAACCTCGCTCATTACAGGTGAGCAGTGAATTGGAGGGACTGTGGTTACGAGAACAAGCGCGAGGAAGGCAATATAGGACGAGAAGGGAATTGGGGTGGAGATGGCACGAGGCGCAGTGAAAAGGGAGGGGAATGAAGAAGAGAGAAGAAGCCAGGATGTGCAAATCGAAACAGTCCAACGAAAGATCTGGCAGCAACGTCGATTCGAAAGAGGGAGTAGGCTCCTTACCTGACTATCGATCACCCGCTCAGCGGCCTAGGCTGGGCTCTTGCGCGCGCGGTGCCTCCCAACCGACGCCTTGCCGTGCTCTCCACGCACGTGCGCTTTGCCCTGCCTCGTGCCCTCTTCACGCCGCCTCCTCACCGCAACACCCCGCCTCAGCTCGCGCTTCTGTGCCTCCCGGTGCTGGGTCTCTACTTGCACAGGGAGAGAGAGAGCGAAGACCCGCAGGCTGGCAAGAGCGGGGACGTCCCAACAAAGTGCGGGGGGCCGCAGGGCGGGCCGGCGGTGAAGCCGCGCCGTCGGAGCTGAGCTACCGCAGACGGTAGGCGGTAGACGGATGCCTACCAGGGGAGGTGTATTGCTTTTCTTTTTTTTCTTTTTTTTCTTTTTTTTCTTTTTTTTCTTTTTTTTCTTTTTTTTCTTTTTTGGAAAGCTGGACAATTTAATTAATCCAATGAATGGAAAGGAGGCGGGGACCTCACAGTTCGACCCAGAAGAACTACTGGCGCCAATACCCGGCATCGGCTCATGCTGGAAACCGGATCCAGTGTCCCCTGAAGCTTTCCAAAATTGAAACTCCAGAGCTGTAAGCCTGCTCTCTCGAGGGAATTCAAAGAATAGCCCTAACCCTAGAGCAGCCCCAGGTCTAACCAAATTCCACCCCTCCATGGGATCTTCTCTACTTGCCCCTGAATCCCCTTTGCTGCCTGCAGGTCTAAGGCCGTTGCAGCCAGTTGGTTATAAGCCTATAATAACCAATTTCTTATCCAACGTGACTGGCGCCAACTGGTTTGTGACTTACCAGCTTCTGTACCCAAACAATCTTCTGCAGCCCTGAGTTTTTGTTGTTTCTACTCTTTGGCTCTCTCTTGGGTTTTTGGGGTACCCCTCCTTTTGCTATCACCTTAAATGCACAGAATCGCAGGCCAACCAGTCCCTCTCACGACCAAGATGGTGTTTTTATTTTCCGACTTCTTTGCAATTTTCTTTTTGGCAATTCATAAATCGACGTAGGAATAACGCGCGCCTTGGCGAGCGCGCTAGGAATTTTATTCGACAGTTGGGAACTTCGGAAATTACAGGCGCTCCTCCTGCTGACGTGTCCTTTCATGCAAATGGATGTTCCCACACTCGCCCTTTAAAGATCTGTGAATTCCTAGTAGGAAGCTAGATAGACGTAGGATTTTCTCGTGCTAAATTTCGCGCGCTGATATTGCTTTTGAAATTTTCAATCTTGAAGTAGTTTTAGAACCAGGATGGATGGAAAGTAACTGATTCGGTGCCTTCTTTTTTTTATGCACCGGTACCATGCATGCAAGCTTTCCCCGCTTCCCATTATGACCCATGGCATCTTCACCCTTTTTCTCTTCCTGCCTTCTATCCTTCACCCATAACTGTTTTTCATCCCCTCTCCCTTCGCGCTTCTCTCCCGCTCCTTTTTCATGTGAATCTTGGTCTGCACTACTCTCCGCGCTCTCCTTCTTCCCGCCTTCATCCCCATACAGGAACTCCCTATCGATCATCCTCCCCCGAGGGTATTCAAGTCATCATGCGACATCGTGTAAGGGGAATACTCCCCTCACGCCATAATTTGATTGGTTGCCAAAAACTTGCGGGGATCAATAAGGCTTTCCTTGGGCGATTACCCCAAACTCTCTCTTCACGCCCTCATACCTCTGACTCATTCCCTCCCATCTTTTATCTCCCTCTTCGCAATTATAAAACCCACAAGCGCGTCCGAAAAACTCTCTCTCAACCCATATGCCAGCATCATGGAAGTTGTGGCTAGTTGATGTGCAAGTAGAAAGTCGAAAAGTCCTGACGAGCCGACTGCGATGTATGCAAGGTTGTGCGCCGGGTGGCCGCGACGAACTGTGGGATCTTGGCAAGTTGGTGCAAAAGCTCGATTGGCGGGGTGACAATCGTTGTGGTATGGAGGTTGGTACGTCGAGGCCGGAATCGTAAGTACCTGAGTAAGACGAGTGTGTGTATACAAGTGGTTGTATGGCCAGGGGCGATTGTCAGAGAGCATAGGGTCGATGCGCCTTGATTTTCGTTGTTTTTTTTTCTGCTAGTTTTAAAAAGCTGAGTACACGACGAACAGTCGGTTGTTGCCCCCCCTTATGCTTATTTGTATGATCAGAGTTATTTCCCTCTCTCCCTTCTCAGTCCCTTTCTTCGGTCGAGTTATGCTTCCTCTCTCTCTCTCTCTCTCTCGATCTCTTTCATTTGTCTACACAATGAATCTCATAATGATCTGATGCTTCCCCGGTCTCACTCGTCCCTATTGAATTCAATCGAAATCCCGCACAAACGTTGAATTCAAGGGACTAGTAAACTCGGGCGACCTTACTATTTTTTTTTCTCTTGTTGATGTGTCCCTTAACAATTGAGGATTCACGTATATAATATATGTTACATATGTGCATCGACTGGGCTAACTAAGCTAAAATGTTGCTAAAACTACGGGAATGCATGCTCACCACTCACTCAATGAATGATGATTGTCGTCTTGATTGGATTGAACTCACATTTTCTTGGATCCATTCGCCTAATGGATGAAAGGCAATAGAGCACGTGGCATTGCAATTGTTTACTTATCTGATTGAATAACTAGTTAAGTGGAGTTATGTGATCCATTTTTGTTTATGCCATGTGGACCGATTGTCCTTATTCGACCAGGTGTCGACTTCCCGTATCCTCATCGCGGTCGTTCCCGTATAACGAGGAAAAGACATGTGTATGTAAGTGAGACGTGCGGGAAGTCGTCGCCAAGATCACCATACGCTATTATTTTTCTCCCGAAACAAGGTGTCCGGGGTTCGTAGGCGCCGTTTTTGTCATTATCGATACCCATATTTCCCCGTACTCTTCATTATTGTTTTTTAACGAACTAATTGTCATCCCGTGGATGACAGTACCACCTCATTGGCCCAACACTCTGTGTAGCGTTTGTTGCCGCACTGAGCGTTATCGAGTAAAGGGGTTCCACCACCGGACACGTGGTGAAAGCGAAGACAAGGAAAGAGCGACCCAGCTGAGGTCGTCCACGTCGGATTCCGAACTCTGTAACGAGTGGCGTCGAGGTTTGATTCGAAAACGAGATTCAAAGTGTGTACCCCCACCTGTCCGTTAGAAAAGCCAACGACTAGCCCGCAAGAGGTTCAAAGATACTTTTTGGATTAGGCGAACGTTTGAAAGTAGCGAGCACCATTTCTTTTCCGAGCGGCTATGGTCCTTTCTCACTAAAACTGAAATCACAAGGTAGTCTTTAGTTTCGTTCGTGGGCCCACACTCAATATTTCTGAAAATCCTTTGCACACCCAATTTCGTTGTTCTTTCAAAGTCCATGCTGCACAATTTATCACTCCGACCGAAAGACAGAACAAAGCGTGAGGTTGGTATCGGAGTCGGCATGTATCGGTTTTCGTAATAGTAAGACGAGATGACGAAAGAACGAACACTCACTCGAACGAATAAGAGAAATCCTCCTCCCTTCACCCGAAACAAGTTGGCAAAAACAAGAAAGGGAGCAACTATGACTAATGCTAATGTACATGCCCCTCGTGTAATGGTAAGCATTCCAACCACCTTTCCATTATATCCTAACCACACTCATCCAAGAGCATGGCTCGAACCACTGAAAGTGCAAGGCTACGAAGCAGTTGACCTACCTCAAGTCACCACCTTTTATCGTACAAAATATCACGCACGATTGGTTCAAGTTTAAACGTCACCAATAGGCAGATTGGGATACGTTCAAAAATACCGTTTTGGCAGAATTTAACGAAGTAAGTGAGGACGCTGCATGGTTTGAACTAAAAACGCCCCAAGAGCCAGAATAACTTTTGCCAGACTTCGTGGACAGATGCCAAACAACTCTGGATAAGTCCGAATGGGAAAAAAATGTTGCTCAAGATGGGTTCATAGATCATCTTTGCAACCCAGTTGTAAAAGCAAAATTGAAAAAGAAGTCCCTCTCGAAACGACTCAACTATCGGTGATCATCGCCAAAGAGCTGGAGTTTGATTCATAAGATAACTGTAAGTATATAGATCAAGGTGGCGAGGATATAGCAGATCGATAGAAGATGTGGCTACGAAACGGAGATCGTGACTCCGATTGATTTGGGGATTTTACCAACACCACAATCCCGAAAACCCAAGCGGATCATCACTGAGTCATGTCTCTCATGCTCCCTCCGCCGTCGTCTCTCCTCCCTCCTCTCCTCCTCCTTCCAAGATGACCCCTGTAACCACCGTTTTACCGCAATCACCGGCACATGTATCCATCACCAATCTTCATCTGGCTCACATGATTCATAAGGCCACTTCCCGCCAATCGGAATGGATGAACCATCTGATCCAGAGTCATACGTCGTAGATGGACCGATTGGAGAAAGTGTTAAGGAAACAAATGAGTGCACACTCCAAAGTACCACGTACCATTTCGTCTCCTCCTTCTTACCCTTTGTTGTATGCCCCTCGTACCCAGACACCAGTTGCTCCCCATATAGCTCACTAGACTGTTGTACCACAGTGAAGGGTAGAATGTTATAATTGTAACCAACCCAAACACTTTGTCTGGGACTGCCTTCTCCCGAAAGGAATCAACCTACTCATGCGGCTGCACCAGTGACCACTTATCAGGGGCGGATAGTGGTCCTACTCGAAGGAACAGGTGAAGCAGGGAATGGTTTCCCTTCCCCACTTCCTCTCCTGCAATCAGATACAATTGCTTCGACGTCTGAGGCTTCTTTCGAGGCTGCAGATGTCGTTGAGCCAATTGAATACCTCTAGCTTGCAGGATGAATTTAAGCCATTCGGCCCAGAAAAAAATGAACTTATATGGGTGGAACGCGAATTGAAACTTGGTCCTCAGTTCCGGACAGATGAACTTGAATGGGTGAAACACTAAAAAGATTAGATATTTGAGTCTCTGCCCCTGTCGGTCACCTTCTAACTATCTTTAAAGCTGCAAACGACAAGCTCCTATGACAATGTAAAAAGAATCAGATGAGATTTTCATACCAGCATGTCTAAGCGATGTTTAAAAAAAAAAGGAGATGGTGGAAGCAGTACCTTCCTCGCCCGATACCATAGCTGTCATAAACTTTATG